TTAAAAAACTCACGCCGGGCGTGTGTGCGTGCGTGCCCAAGATCCCGAGAGGAGAATGGAGGAGAAGGGATTGCGGCGTGACCATCCCCCCTGGGGGGTGATTTCTCGCTTTCTGTCTCTATGTCTCTCTCTGTCTGTCTGGCGAGCGCACGCGCCCTATAACGAAAACCTCTCCAAAAAACAAACAAACAAACAAACAGAAACAGGAGCTTTTTCCTGACTTCAGCGCGGGTTGGCTGAGGGTCATTTAGGCCCTGACTCACCCGTTTATTGAAAGGCCACCGTAAACGAGAGGAGTGTAAGAAGCGCGGCAGCCCAGGCCCTCCCTTTAACATGGTGACGCCCAGTTCTACCGCAGTCGTGCCCAAGGGCCCCCGCCCCAACCAGATCAAGAAGCCTGCTGGCCGGGCTGCTACCGAGTGCTGGCCGCAGCGTCTCATGGGGAACCTGGGTTCGATCCCTGGCCGACTCTGAAAAGCTGGGTGTGGAGGAGCACACCTGTGGGCCCAGCTACCTGGGAGACCAAGGCCGGAAGCCCATGCCACAGTGAGACCCTGACTCACACACACACACACTCTCCCCCAAATATCTGAAAGTGTACTTGGACATCTGTATTTAAAAACAAAACGAACAGTTCCCCGGGTGATTCTCGTGTGTACCAGGACTGAGAATATTACCCCCTCTCTCCTCTAGGGTCGTTAACAGCCAGGTGGGAAGTTTAAATACGTGTATTAGTTGCTGTAATGTGGAGGAGTACGAGTCCAGGGTGAGCGATACAGGTTATGGGCACCAGAAGTGCGTCCGTAGCCAACCGGAGTCACCTCCCTCAGGGAGCCCTTTGGAGCTGGTAGAGTCTTCAGAGGCAGAGAAGGGGAGTGGGAGGGAGTACCCTCCAGACCACAGAAAGCGGCTTTCAGGGGAGTCCCCGGACATTGGGTGGACTTTTTGTTTGTTTTTTAGAGGTTTTTGCTACAAGGCGTGTGCGCTCTCCAGAAAGACAGAGAGACAGAGAGACAGAAAGTGAGAAATCACCCCTCAGGGGTGATGGCCACGTTGCAATCCCTTCTCCTTCATTCTCCTCTCGGGATCTTGGGCACACACGCACACGTGCCTGGCGTGAGTTTAAGCCACCGGGTCCAGGATTTGAACTGTGGTCGACTACATGGAAGTCCAGCGACATAGCCATTATGCCAACTGCTGGTGCCAGGGTGGACTGTTCTGACGGGAGTGTGACGTGTCTGGAGAAGGTGGCATAAAGACCAGATGCCAGGTCACTGCCCCGTTGTAGACAGTCTCCAGCCTCAGACCTCGGAGTTCGGGCTCTGTTCTGCGGCTGGCTGGGAAGCGCTGGGGGTCTCTGGTGAATGGCATGGTGTGATGAGTCTTTGCAGACTGGCCCGATGGGAGTGAGGAGTGTGGACATTGAATAAATTGAGGCCGGAGCCCGGGGGAGGCAAGACTCGCTTGAGAAGTTTGTGCGATCACGCTCTGAGCTAGAAAAGTACTCATGGGATTAAAAATAGCATGGGGCCAACGTGCAGCAGGGGGGTGTGATGGCCGAGTCCCACGGGGCTGGCTTAGTGTCTGAGTCCCGGACCGGGAGCTTGAAAATCACGCCGGGCACACAGCGAGTGTGTGTGTGTGTGTGTGTGGCCCAAATCCCCAGAGGAGAATGGAGATGTAGGGACGGTGGCATGGCCGTCCCCCCGAGTGACTTCTCTCACTTTCCCTCTTTCTCCCATGAGCACACGTGCCCTATAGCAAACAAAACAAAAACCTTGTGGGACCGGCGGGTGGTGGTGACTCCGGCAGCTGGATCCCCCATGACAGACAGCACCGTCTAGGTCCTGGACCTGGCGACATGTCGGTGCGGTGCACCCTCACCCGAGATCCCTGTAGGAGAGTAGGGGAAGGGACTGTGGCGTGGGCATTGCCCCGGGGGTCACCTTCTCTCTTACTCTCTCCCTCTGTCGCTCTCCAGCAAGTGCCCATGCTTTATAGCAAACGAACACACAAAATAGAAAGAAAAAAGAACACTTGTGCGGTATCTTGATAATAAATACGTCCCTTCCCGCATTCCGTTTAGACCTCACCCTGACTTGTGGTATTGAGGGTAAAGGTGTTGGACGTCACCTAACAAAATACGGAGGGGCCTGACTGGGTGATTGATGACCAGTTGGTAAAAGGGAGTGTTGGGGTGCATCGGAGTGTCAGGTTGGGGTGGAAATGGCAGAATTACTTGGGGCTGCCCGGCGTCTGGTCACTGGCGGTGCTGTCTGTCCGGTTCCTGGCAGTGCTGTCCGGTCCCTGGTGGTGCTGTCTGGTCCCCAGCGGTGCTGTCCGGTCCCTGGCGGTGCTGTCCGGTCACTGG